CATGATTCCACTGCAACTGGGTCCTCCAAATCCCAACAGCAGTCCCTCCAGCAGCTCCAGGGGCTCCTCCAATACCACCACCAGGGCCACCACCATCCAGCAGATCTTCTGGACCTGCAAGCTTGTCAAAGTGAACCTGCCCACTGATCTCATTGGCAATCAGCTCAATGCACTTGATAGGATTCACATCACAATCTAACCTGTCAGCAACTGGAAGACTAAAATTCAGTTGAATCTAGGAAGCAACAACATTATTCTTCACGTCCTCAGGAATCAATCCGGAGCCTTGCAATGATGGGTGAAAACAGGTCCACAGCAAATCCTTTCCTAAAATTTGTGCTACTTGATTACCAAATACATTTGCAATATTAGGGGCTACAGAAGAAGTAAGCCACTTGTTGATGATACCAGTCCTCAGTGGCTTGTACAGATAAATTCCTTCAAGGCAAAGCTTCAGTGCTATGTTGATATCAGGCTAGGCAAGCTGCATAGTGCTATACTGATTCTGTTGCTTTCTAGACTTTCATCTAGCTCTATAATCAACATCCCTGCTTCCAACACGCTGTCTTGCATAAGTTGTTGCAAGCTTTTGAAAGGAATGAGTGCCCAGCTTGCCTTCAGAAGATGGTTGTCTTTCAGCAACAACAAAGGCTTCATTATTAAATGCATAGTGCTTAATGAATCTAGAGTAAGCAGTCTTTCCTTTATTCACCTCTTTCTCAATATCCCTTGCTCAAGACCTCCTATCTGTAATTCCTTCAGTGAATAGCCATTTACTTGCTGCTCCATTGCTGCATTTGCACCACTTTTCAAGGGATAGAGCAAGCCTCAGCACCACACAGCTCCTGTGATCCATCAATCCAAGCAGTTTTGTCTTGGACAATTGCATTTCTCCCTTACATTCTTAGACCACCATAACTTGGCTTTTAAGGAACTGCAGAAATTCAGCTGATTTCTCTAAGCTATCTTTCCCCACATGAGCCATATCATTGTTACAGCCGATCAAGTGCAACTGGAACTTAAGCATTGGAAGATACTACCTCAGTCAATTGGTAATTGTCTCGTGAGTTGACATGAGTTCTAGTGTTTGCAAGAACTCATCAGTGGTAAGAGGTTGGTCCATGCTGCTTGCCTACCCAAGTCCTCTAGTTTCCTTTTTGATAACAGCTGCAATTAGATCAGCATTAACTTACTGGGACTTGGTAGGATTCCACTTCCGACACTGGCAACAATGGTCCATTTTTGCAGCTTGTTGGGCACAAAGTATGATATTGCTTTCTTGTAGTAAATTAGAGAGGTGGATCTACTGTGAGTAGGATTATCATCCACACCTGGATCCTCTTGCCCAAAGGCTTTCTTTGCAAAGACTTGACTTGTTTGATTCACCCATCTGACTGACTTGACTCATTCTATTCACACAACATTCAATCTTCATTCTGATTGATTTTAGATTTCATAGTTTGCCGATCCTCGATAAGAGCATTGACTCCACAGATTATGACACCATTCCAATAAAAATCACCATCACCATGGTGACTTTTTAGGTGCGCTCTCTCCTTTTGCGACTCTACCACATACAATTGCCCAAGAGCCTTTGAACAGCAAACTGTCATCACACATAAACAGCAACAAGAAGTATAATTTTCAAATCGATTTTTTCAAACGCACGAAATTACACTTTGCTTAAGAAAATTATCACTTAGAATTCTTACTGATTCCTAAGTATATTCCTACCTGACAAGCTCCTTCTGGCTTCCAAATTCCAAAGACCCCACCATGGTGACATCCCCTTCAGAAGGGGAAAATCCTCCTCCCTGGCTCCATTCAAGCAGCAACCAAGCAATGTGACCAAGTCTATTCCAAATACATCAATCCCCCAGCTGGTGGTGGTTTACCACAGCTGGATCCCCTGTTCCTCCAGAAGCACCGTATGGTATCTTCCGGTGTTGAAGTTGTTGTTGTTTCTGACATTTGTGCCAGAATGCAATAACACCAACCCCAGCCCCCAGTATTCAACCAAGACCTTTCCTTTGAAGAACAACGCCTGGAGTTTATGCTACATCATACTCAGTTTTAAAGAAGATTCCCCAGCTTCTCCATGCAGATCCTTTCCAGTATTTCCCAGACCGGATGAGTTTTCCGGTCTGGTTGTTGTTGTTTCCGACGTTTGTGCCGGAATGCAATAACACCAACCCCAGCCCCCAGTATTCACCCAAGACCTACTGGTGCAAACCAAGCCTGGAGTATATGCTACATCATACACCATACTCAGTTTAAAAGAAGATTCCCCAGAATCTCCATGCAGTTCCAGTATTTTACGGACCAGAAGAAGATTCCAGTCAAGTGGACAGTAACAACAACACCCCCAGTATTTGACCTCATGACCAGCGGTTACAGAGTTAGGAGATTTATTATCAGTTTCTTCTTCAAGAAGATACTCAACATAAAAATGTMCTGATCAAATTTTGGTGGAGGAGGTTGGATTGTTGTAGGATTGGACATTTTTTGAAAGTATGTATGGAGGTTTGACCTGTCATCATGTCACAGACAAGGTATGGATGGTTGAAAGAGGCCAGGTTTGCTTTGATTTGATTTATGGACATTAAGTAGGCAAAACTTCTTAGGTGTTCTTCATCAATTTTGGCAATTTGAACTTGATTGACAGAGATAGGATTTGGAATGTTATTAGGACATTTGTATGTTGGTATATATATATTGTATTTTCAAGTCAGCATTGGTGCAACAGGTGGTTCTTTCGCCGGGCTATTTGGGAAGTTCAAGTAGTATTGCTGAAGAGTTGCAACAAAGTTGGAAGGTTCAAATCTACTATGTTTAAGGTTAGCATTGATATGATCTTGTTTGTTTGCTTGCTTGTTGTGCACGAAATAACATGTACTGAATTCTTTTAGTAGTAGTATTTAGATTGTAATCTAATTAGGATTGTGAGACTAAAACTAATGAATAAACTGAATTGCTCGAAGGATTCACCACTACACAATTCCTTGTCTTGTGCTGATCCTTTGCAATCCTTTCCTTGCAATTGATAGGGGAATCAATAGTAGAAATATACTTCTGCCTAGTACTAATTGATTGTGAGCTAGTTTCCACAGTTCTCGGATCCTGTGGATCTCAGTAGTGATTCTACTGAGCGACTTTAGAACAGAACTCCCAATCAACTAGTTCTGTTCTGAATTCTATTTCTCCCTCTGAGAACTACTAGCAAAGAGGAAGTAGATATATATACAGATATATACTGAACTGTATATATATATATATATATATATATATATATATATATATATATGACGCTTCAATTTAGTGTACTAGTATATAGTGTAGTATATAGTATAGTATATAGTACTCGTATTAGTAGTACTATATAGCTTCCAACCTCCTATATACTATGTATATATATAGGTTTTGGTCCCCGGGATTCATGACTGATCCCACGTTCTGTTGCCACATACTGTTGCTACGTACTCATTGCATGTTGTTTGCTTGTTGCTTGTATTTTTGCTTGTACTCATAYGSAAGGACTGCATTATTTTGTGAGCTAATTTGAGTGCAAAAATAGTGCACTGCACCTCTTGTGACAAGAAGGAGTCAACACAAACAGGAGGGAGTTGCAAAATGGTTGCATTCTCAGTATTTTGTAGTGTATAGAGCAACCAAAAGAGGTGATGCAACCACAGCAGAAAAGCTACTASTAGTAATACAGTTGCAGCGTAGATTCTCTACCACAAAATACGTAACACATAGTATAAGTATGGTGGTAAATTGACTGGGAATAATTGATAATAGCCTACGTAGAATCCTGCATATTTTAAGTACCAGCTGACTCCTATGACCATTTTGAGAAATTAGTTGCAAAAATTTGTTACAGGTACAGGTAGTAGAGAATGAGAAGAGCATTGTGATCGCACATGACAGTTTCTCTATTACTACTAGAGCTAGTACTAAGTTGTACAATTGCAGTGCTGGCAAGTTATTGGCAATTTCCCAAGTGTCAATTTTTTCTTATTTTCCCCTCTTTATTTGTTCCCCTCTCCCCCCTTCACACAAAAAACTGAGAAGTCCTAAAATATTTCTCTTAGTGGTCCTTACTACTGCGGATTAAAAATCAGTGCTTATCCCCAGTATTACGGACCACCAATACAAATATTTTGGGACTAGCGAGAAATTAAACAATGATGGAAATATTTTTTATTTTTCTCTGTTGGATGCCTTTTTTAACTGGTTTTAAMTGTAAAAATGAGCTAAAAATTTCTATTAGTATTTGTACAGGGATTGCCAATAACCTTGCCAGCGCTGGAATTGTACTTGGTAGCTCTATTTTCTACTTCCTACCGGTACGTATGGTACCGAGTACCCGTCATTAGAAATGCTTAGCCATACGTACGTACGTTACCGTACCTGCATATGCATGTACAAAAAACCATGGGTTTCAGGAGAGTTTCTCGTCCGAAGTTTTTCAGAATTTTTCGCGCTGCTGTCGCGAATCGCCGGCATACTGTACCGTGTACCGGTACAGCAGTAATTATTATCAAAATAATTTTTTCCGTCCTTGTTCCGAAGACACGGCAAAAACATCTTTGTTGAATTCGTTGTTGTGCGGTATGATAGGAGTATGAACGGTACAGTGAGTACGTCAAAGTGCAGTACGGCATCGTACTACGAGTACGATCTCTGAAGATGTTGATGACAGAACAAAGACACCAAAGTTTACCATACGCTTTCTTCTTCATCGTTCAGTCGCGGCCTACCGTGCAACATTGAATGCTATCTCTRCAAAGATTGATCTCGCCGTAACATTCTGCAAAAGGTACGTCTCTTATGTTTTTCGATGTTCATTGACTTGTCAAAATCAATCGAATGGCCAAGAGGTTGTTGATGTCACCATTTTCTGTTGCATGTATATTTCTACGTCAATCCAGTAGTATCTTTTCATCTTTTAGCGAACCTTGATGGACGTGATGTTTTATTTGCGTGTCTTGCGTTGTCTTCCTGAAAAGAATTCAGAGCATAGGCTTCAAAATTACACMATTGCTGTTATAAAGTTTTAACCCATCTCGGGGTAGTTGACTGTTTTTCATCTTGCCTACTTKTATCATTCTTTTCGATACAGCAGCAATCCTCGTCCGAGTACTCATATCTGCGCCACACTCCTTAGTACTTGTATCTCTTCCGGGAAGTCTCATTCACCTTATCRCTTTTGTATTACTATTCATTTTCAAGATTCTTCGCAGTTGTCTAAAATTACAGTGTTGATGAAAATCTGCCCTTCACTAGATGACAGAGAGAAGCAAAGYTACTGTATTATACGTTTGAAAAGGACGAAGTAGTTCGAAACATTCACTTATGCACTCKTGCATTGTACAGTATTAGGATTTTTCTGAACTTTTCGATCATAGATATAAAGCGCAAAATGGAACGAAAAAATTATTATGACTATGATGGGAACAATTCGTCTTCGCAGCGACCGCAGCATACTCAATTTTTAGATTTGACGAATGGGGAGGGTGGCGAAAGCAGACAAGGTATGGCGATCTCATTCCGTGGTGACGACGGTTACGCGGGAACCAATAACTTAGGCAATAGTAGAAGTACSCCCGCCCCTATTCCTTCGATAAGGACATCGATGAGTATTTCTCGTGGAGGCGGCAATGATGTCGTAACGAAGCTGGGAAGTACGAAGCTTGATCCCAATACACCGGGAAGGCTCGTGGAAACAGGCCAAGAACAAACAGGTAGATGGACAAAGGACGAACACGAGGCATTTCTTATCGGCATCAAAATGTATGGAAAGGAATGGAAAAARGTTGCCGCCAAAGTTAAGACGCGAACAGTTGTTCAAACTCGAACGCACGCTCAAAAATATTTCCAGAAATTAGCAAAGGCAAATGAGGGCAAAGAAGATGTGACACACGTTGACATGGGAACCGCATCTGAAGCCAGGAGGGGTGGGTCAGCGATCAAGAAGAAACAACGTATTGCACCTTCCACGTCAAATAAGATGGCTAGGACCACAAGTGTTGCTTCTGCAGCCCAAGTGATTTCGACGTTCTCTGGGCAGCATTCTCGTCCACCGATGACATTGAACGTGCCAATTGAGGCATCGAAGACCGCGCGAGGGGCGCATGGGGCCCATGGGGCCCATGGCTTTCAGGCAGGAAATGCACCAATTGGGAACGAACCTAAGATTATCGAGGCGATCTCATCTCAAGATCGTAGCATGTATCAACCAGCTCACGGGTTTTTAGGCGCATTTGGTTCTGGTGCAGTAACATCTGAAACAAGACCACTACCTGCTTCGTCCTCTTCCGGCGTAAAAGATGTCATTAAAAATAACCTTGGCATGGGAAGTAAAAATTTTTTACTTAMTAAAGCACCAAGAATAGGTACGAMTGCGTTCCCTAGTATGAAGATCGTGGCACCAGAACATGACTCGGCAGTGAAAAGAGGCAAATTTCCAGAACCATCACCTGCGGCGGGTGGGAAACGTAAGGTCGACGAACTCGATGCTGCACATATGCTCCAGTTAATAGGGGAACCATTAATGAAACCGCCGAAATCACTTAGTGGGAGGGAGCATCCATTAAATCAAAAGAGCAATCTGAAAAGAAGAATAGCATCAATGCCCCACAACGACCAGAATSCTTTCGGTAGTAGTGAGGATGGAACAGCTACTCCACCTCCACTAGAAGAGGGAAAGACTACTCAAAATGTGGCTGGTTTTGAAGTCCTGAATAAGACTAAACAAATGATACTAGACGGTAGTGTCAACCCGTCAGATCTCRTGAACTCTCCCAAAAAACCGATTGGCCTCTCGTTACAGATTGTGAACCCAGAATCACTCGGAGTTTCTCATAAGATGATAGTGGGACGGAATGCAGATGGGCTAAAGTCTCCAGTTACTCCATGGGAAGGGGAACTTCGAGCTTTAGTAAGGTAAGATATATGGAATTTTTTAAGTTGAATTTGGAAGAAAAAAGTTAAGGAAGTTCAATTTACTCACATGCAAAAAAAATATTCACGCCGAGCAACTAGCGAGGAAAAGCTCAAAATACCAGCGAAAGATTTAACTGTTGGAGGCGGCATGCCTGTGGCGCCCAAAATGGAACCCCATGGTGAGCAACATAGTTSTTTCGTTCATCCGATTTGTGGTCCTGGTTCAGCTTTTGGGAGGAGTCTTCTTCATAAAGCCGTGTGTGACATGGACATTATCGCTGTGCAGAGTCAAATGTCATCACGACCCGACTACTTTGATCGTAGAGATGAAAAGGGATACTGTCCAATTCATTCAGCTTGYGCATTGTGTCTGAAAAATCCGGAGAACTCTGTTGTGAGCGCTGAAATTGTTCGGATGCTAATCGCTGAAGGAGTGGATGCGTCGATTCGAGATCCAGAAGGCAATACACCTCTCCATTGGGCGGCCCGCGCTGGGGATAAAAAAACTGCTCAACTTCTGCTTGTGAAGAATAACCCAAAAGGTAAGTTAATAATGTCACACCATATCGGAAGTACTTTCCTCCAACAAAAATGTACCCATTTCTATCTTTTTTTTAAATTAATCAACACCACTCAGATGCGAAAAACGAGAGAGGAGAAACGCCCCTCCATTGGGCAATGCGTTCTGGCCGAGTTGGRATACCTGTTGCTTCCATTTTGATAGAAAATGGTGCTCGACCCTCAGTTTGGAATACTCAATTCAAGAGACCTATTGATGTTGCTGCGGATGGCTTTCTCGACGAACCTGACCCTGTCATGGWGATAAGAGCATTGGACGAGAAAAAAAAGAAAYTGAAAAAGGAACAACGACGAAAACTCCGCGAAGCCGCTGTCGAACGGAGGGAGTCACGGGCAAATCTCTTCGAGATTTCTGCGCAGTCACGAACGCTTGTTCTTTATCACCCTGAGTGCCTGGAACATATTCCAAAAGGAAAAGGGGATTGGGAAAATCCCGATCGGATCAATAGTATTATGGAGCGAATACAAGAGGGAAATCCTGGATCAGAAACTCCATCGATATACCAAAGGGAGATTCAAATTTCAAAAGAGTTTGAGCGTGCCAAGCTCGATCTATTGAGTCGTGTTCACAGTACTGAATATCTAAATATGGTGAACGAATTGAGCAAAGATTTAGAACGCAAGCAAAAAGAACAGAATGCTACCAATGGAACAAATAAGGATGATACTTCAGGCACCCCTCAGGTGGTCCCGTTCACTCCAATGGTAAGATTTCATTCGCACTCTAGCTGAACGCCAGTATATGCAAATAAAAAAGCTCATGATGATTGCACGCTCATCCTTATTTTTGCAGGTTCTACGGTCAATAACCAAAGCTCAAGAATCAAGCATCAAAATTAGTGACCATTCAGATACTTCTTTCAGTGCAGGCTCATTGCGAGCAGCTCGTAGAGCCGCAGGTGCAGTCCAGCATGCAGTTGATTGGTAAGATTTGTTGGTTGTATTTATTATGTAGGTTTTTTTTTTTTCGATCTAATTTTTTCGTTGTTAGTGTTTTGGTTGGAAGGCACCGGAATGCATTTTGTATTGTGAGGCCACCAGGTCATCATGCAGGCATTAACGGTTTGCTAGGGGAATCATGTGGGTTTTGTATATTTAACAGCGTTGCTGCTGGTGCGATGCATGCGATTTCGGATGAGCGCTTGTTGTGCGAACGGTGCGCTATTGTGGACATTGATGCGCATCATGGAAACGGCACCGAAGAAATCGTACGGAAATGTCATGATCCTGCGAAATTATTCTTTTTTTCCATTCATCTGTACGACAACGATAGAAAAGGAAAGCGGGAAACGAAATCTTTTCAGTACAAGTTTTATCCAGGAACAGGAGACGAGGATGATCTTCCTCTGAATATTATCAATGTGCCGATAACTCCCTTGTGGAAAGAAGGAAACCAATTTCAAATTGGAGGTACTCATAACACTCGTCACCGGACACGAATTAGAGCAAATCAAAGCGACGACGGAAGCTCTTCAGAGACTGGAACCCCGAAAGTGAGTGACGCTGAAGTTGATATTAAGATGTCGAGGGCGTCATCACCGACGAGTTTCAGTTCTTCGGGTTCAGGCGGCGGACGGCAGGCATATAGAAAGGCTATACAGAATAGATTATTGCMTGCTTTGAGAGCTTTCAACCCTGATCTAATATTGATAAGCGCAGGATTTGATGCTTGCAAGGGTGATGTGGGCAACGCAAAACATTTAGGAGGAAAAGAAAAAATGGGTATTGACTTAGAACCCGAAGATTACGCGTGGACAACCCGCAAAATTCTTGAGATTGCCGATATTTGTTGTAAAGGCCGGGTTGTTTCTGTCTTGGAGGGTGGGTACGGTAGACATCCTGYGTCGGGCGTATATGATCCTGGTGAGCCATTGGATAAATCTTTATTCAGCGAATGTGCAATAAGACATGCGCACGCTATGATAGACCCGTACAACGTCGAAGAAAGGTTTGGGTCCTCGAGAAAGAACAGTTTATGAATGTAATCATTGTAAAGTTGCACACAAGTTGTTTTTGTCTTTTTAAAAAAAGTTTACAATATTAGCTGAGTACTTCGTGCCTCCCAACACGTAGATTTATTTGGCATCACATAAAGGTCCCAATCCTATAACTGACTACGATTGTGAATGCTTCTTACTTTCTTCACACTTGCCAAAATCATGTAGTTAAGTCTTGGTAATCCGAGTTACAACTGAAAGAGCTTGTAGATCACTTATATTTGTGTTGAACACATAAAAAACAAAAAACCCTTCATGTCTGATAGTGGTCAGTCTCCTAAACACCTGCCCYTTCTTGTACAATACCCACCACCAGTCAGGCAAAAGATTGGATTCTTCCAGTTTCAAAACCTTAAAGACATTCTTACTAGTTTATGTCTTCAACAGTACTTAACCTCTTTACCTCCCTCTGCAAGGATCTTGTCCATCCTGTGATAAGGGCCTYGATTTTGTAAAWGAAAGTAGATGACAACACTTCGCTCAMTAGTATTATTTGTGATTTTGTGCTGWTTTGGTGATGGTATTGTGGAGCGGTGCTACTAGTAGAACTAGTAGTAGATTACTATCCCTCCTCATCACTACCATTTCTGCTTGCTTCAGTTATCATACTGTCTGTTGCCTTGCAAAAGYCATGTGTTGCAATGTCCCCTTTGAGATTGCTTGCAGGGTTGTGTGCAAAGTCATGGCAAGTGGCACCAGGGAAAGATCACTAAGAGACATTGACAGGATGTTTTCTTGAGTGAAATCCTGCTCACACAAGATCAGCATCAAACAAGGCTTGGTGGGAGATTTCTACTGCAATACCAGCTGAGCTGAGTGTTGGTAGTAGGACTTGAAACAAAACTGAGCACCTCGAGGCTTCCGGTGATGTACCAACCARAACAGTACTTTCCTCCCCTATTGATYAAATCCATTTGTTGCATCCACAAGCAGAGTGCCTTGGCGGTCATTGTACTGTGTTAAGGGGTCATTAGGAGGCTTCTCCAGGGTCATTCAGTACTGGAAACAACAGCCTCSTGACCACAGTGTACTTATAGGATTGGTACCTACGTATGCTAAAACATACCACGTACATACCTCTTACCACATACCAATTTAATCCTATGAGTCAATTGTATGATTCAATYGTGTCGTAAGAGTGATTTTTACAGTCTACCTACTTCACTAGTAGTAGTCTTTTTGTATTCAAGTACTATGATGTGTATGATAACAATAGAAATTTCTTTCAATGCAGGATTCCAAATGTGAATTTAACATTCTRAATGTAAACTTAGTAGCACTCTAAAAGTTAACACAGTAGCTGCAGTTGCAGTTTTGCTTCATCATRTTAGCAGGTAAGGATGTATGTCTTCCTCTTTTTTAGACACGTTTCCATTTTTTAGGGCATGTCAAGACCAAAATAATTGATTTGGGATGATA